GGGGTCCTCTTTCTGGCAAAGCCTGACGTTGGAGGAAGACCGTTGTTTAGTGAGCAACGCAGATTTGTCCCGCTCGCCACCCAGGAGCATGCTGGAACCCAAACCTGACTGAGCAGCACTTGTGGTGGCAGTTGCGGTGTAGTGCATGGCTGTACGCACATCAGTGTGGGGATTACAAGGAAAAAAAGCTTGTTTTATTAGTTCGGGCATCTTCTGTAGCTGTATCTATGTATAAACACACGCATGAGCAGTGCCCATGATGCTGTGGGGTGCCCTGCTCTGGGCCAGCTGTGCCCATGGCTGTACAGCTGGGGGATTCGAGGCAAGACTGGAATAGCGAGCAGCTGTAACTGGGTGGCCAGCACCACGAGCTGCCCGAAGGAGCGGATGGATTCACCCCTCTCTGGCATCCACTGTGACGGAGCCGTGCGGCAGCGCTGGGAGCATCCGGACTGACTGCTGGGCAGAGCCACGACAGGGGCTGTGCTCCAGCCCGCTGGGTTGGGGGGAGCTGGCCTGGGCTCCCCACCTTCCCTGGCCAGTTCTCTGGGAAGTGACGGGACGTCCCTCTTGACGTCGGAAGTGGTGATACAGTTGTGTAAATCTAGGTAGAAATGGCAATAAACTCTACTTTTTGTATAAACGTGCACCCAAAGCTGTGTGTCTGTGGCTGGGAAGAGGGAGGTGTTGGGGGGGTGGGTGTGCGTGGCTCACTGGGGAAGGGGCTGGGGCTCACTGGGAGGGGACTGGTGAGGATGCTTACTGCAAACCTGTGGGGGGCTGGGATCGTCCTGCTCCCCAGCTGGGGAAACCTGGCAGCTCCCCACCTTGGGGGGTCGGTCCCTGGTTGAGCTGAGATGGGATTTTTGAGTTGTGAGCAGGTAGCCCCTTCTCAGGGGGCTGGGTGTGTGGTAGGGAAGGGGGCCCTCAGCATGCAGGTCTTTGCCCTCTGTGTCATGCCTGTGAGCAGGGGTGTGTGCAGGGCAGGCTGGGGAGGAAAGCAGTGAGGAGGCTCTTCCCAGACTGTGGGGAGCTGTATGCACCCGCAGCCCAGCTCTGCTTTTCCTCTGGTGTTTTTGTTCTGTTGCTTCTCAGACATCACTGGTTTGTTTGTTGGTTTGTTTGGGGTTTTTTAACCATCTTGAAACGTGGAGTGAGGGTCAGAGGATGTGGAATAGTGCTGGATGGGGGCTGAGGGTGCCCCAGCCCTGTCCTAGGGTACAGCCAGCCTTGGATTCAGCCCCATGGAGTGGGTGGGAGAGCGAGGGAGGAAAAAAAAAAAAAACCACCAACCCTCCACCTCTGGGGATGCTGGGTGGCTGTGCTATTTGGGTGAGGGTTAAAGGCTGGTGGGTACCAGGAGAGCCAGGAGCTATGTCAGCAGAGCCTCAGGCTGGCAGGATGTTTGAAGTTAGGTGCAGTATCCTCCCCCAGGGTTTTACACGCTGGACACAACTCCTGGGCGAGCTGGAGACACCCCCAGCCCAGTGAAGGGGGCCGGCAGTGCCCCAGGCCCAGGGTAGCTGGCCACAGCCTGCGTTGCCAGCAGCACTGCTTTCGGTCTCTGCCGCGGCGAGGGTGACTCGGCCCCAGCTGTGAGTCACGGCACAGCCGGAGAGCTGAGGACGGTTGGCTCCCTGGAAACCCCGGGTAAACAGCAAAACACAGGCCATGGGGCTCGAAACCTTTATGGGGCGCCTGTCCCCTCCCTGTCCTGTCGGTCCCAGGGCTGGGACCCAACCGCAGCCTCGTGCAGGCAGCCCTGCAGACACCGGTGCGAGGGCTCGGTGTGCACATGCATGTGCCTTGAGTGTGCGAGTAACCGTGTGTGTGTGGTTGCTTTCCCTGCTGGGTGCGGGCATGTGCAAGGCACCCCCCATGCCATGTGTATGCGCATCTCTTGCTCATACAGGCATTGCAGTGAGCTGGGGGGGCACACACACACGCACCCCGGTGCTGCCAGGCTCTTGCGTGGTACAGCTTCTCCAGGAAGGGCTGGCCCCAGGGCAACTGGATGCCAGCTGTGTTTGCACTGGCCATTTCACTATAAATGACTGCACCTAACTGGGTGCCACTGGGCTGGCAGCTGCTGGGAGATTGTCCTCCCACCCTTCTGCACCCCTTGGGATGGGGAAGGTTTGGGCTTCAGCGATGAGCTCTGTACCCCATCTGGCCCTGCTGCACCCCACACCCTGGCTGCATTTGAGAGATGCAGTGATGGCGTTTGGAGTCTGGAGCCCTGTTTGCCACCTCTCCCTGTCCTCTGTTCCCTCCCCATGGCCCTGGGACTTCCCCACAGCCCTCGCATTCCTTTTTAGAGAGGGGACAGGCAGTGGCACCCAGGCAGACCCCACTCATCACAACGGCTCAGCAAAACCCACCTACCCCAAACCACTTGCTCCAGATCAGCCTTTCTCCCACGGGTGGGCAGAGCCCTTTCCTGTCCCCGCAGCGTGGTGTGTTACCGTGCCAGCCAATGGCACCAGGCAGCCCCATCAGAAACCCCTCCCTGTTTGCTGGCACATGCCACCGCAGGGCTGTGCATGGCTGAGCCCAGCCCCAGTGGTGTCCCCGGGGTCTCCTGGGAGCAGCAGGAGAGGAGCTGAACCCTTGGGCTGAGCACCCGGCTGTGGGTGCAGCAGCCCCCCGCAGCGTGGTGTGTTACCGTGCCAGCCAATGGCACCAGGCAGCCCCATCAGAAACCCCTCCCTGTTTGCTGGCACATGCCACCGCAGGGCTGTGCATGGCTGAGCCCAGCCCCAGTGGTGTCCCCGGGGTCTCCTGGGAGCAGCAGGAGAGGAGCTGAACCCTTGGGCTGAGCACCCGGCTGTGGGTGCAGCAGCCACACAGGGCCTGCTCCCCAGCTCCTGCCGTGTCTGGGGGATGGAGGAGGTCTACAAACACCTCTGCATCACCCGAAGTCGCCCTACGCCCTTCCCAGGCCCTCTGGTTATGGAAAAGGCTTGGAAACACCCCGTTCCTTCTGGACGCGATGTCCCCTTGCAGCGTGCCGCAGGCCCTGGAGGAAGCGGTACGCACTGCGCAGCACCCAGAAGGAGCGAAAGGCCCGTCCCGCCCCATGGCACGGCGCTCTCTGGCTCTCTGCCCCACCAGCCCCTGGGCTC